TCTTACCCACAAGGTTGCGAATTTTTGCTATGCATTCGCCTATATTTGCAGATATCATGTTTACCTGAGGGGCTTGTTTCTCGGCCAGTTGGCGCTCTGCCGTGTCAGGCCTGTAATCTGCGCTTGCATTTCTTCCATGCGCCTGCCTTCATTGCCTTCCAACAGAAGCATGGCCTCCATCTCTTCATCAATAGTTTAGGCCTTTCCTGCAAACAGGAACAATCACTCCTTCCCACCTGTCATACTACTCCTGTGATCTGCAGTTCCTGCGATTCCTGTGATTAATGCGGTTCCGTAACAATGTATATTGCGGAAAAAAACAATATGTACTGAAATTCGCAAAGTGCTGGTGCGGCACATCGGAAGTCGAGGAATCACAGGAATTGCAGGAATTACAGGAGTCGCAGGAATCACCTCCTGGAATAGTATGGCCGGTACCCTTGTATCGATAGACTTCCTATCATCGATCGGTGAGCAGATTATGCTTTACTCTGTTCTGAAACTAGTAACTTTTATAGCTTCTTCCAGGTTCAAGCGTAGGGTGTGGCATGCCACACCTGTGGGGTCGTAGAGGGGTCAGGAAGAGGAGGGGGGTCGTTATTGATGATAGGGATTGGGATTCCTCTTCACCACGTCGAAGTTCTAAGGTAGGAATGAATTACTCAGTTCGGAAACGGGGTTAACAAATGTAGTGTGCTCTGCTTTCACCGCAATGGTTCTCCCAGCTGTCGCAGTACTGATAATGCGCAAAACAAAGGGTTCGACAAATTTCAACTCTTTTATGATCAAATTTGGGGGACTGAGCTTACAAGGGAACGATACTCGGTGTCCGTGGCCTTTTGAGATGAGATGTATACCATTACACTCGCCTTGGAACGCTGATTCCAAATCTTACTTCCGTTTCTGCTAATCGCTTCAAAGATGTTATCATGAATTGCGCGGAATTTGGCTGCCCAGTGAAATATTGTCGGAACGCCAATACCATAGGTGCGCTGTGGTCTAGTGGTTAGTGCGATAGGCTCATGAGCTGATGCCAGGTTTAAGTTCGAGTCCTTTTGTGTTTTTTAGTTTTGCGTTGCCTCAATTAACCTTCTTTCACATCCTCAAGCTATGTAAACGCCCTTACTCTTGAAAAAATGTGGAATTTTGGAAAAAATGACTACTGTTTGCACTAAAATGTATTCGATGGCCATAAATCGAGTAAACTTTCTCGAACAAGCTTAATTGAGGCAATGCAAAAGTAAAAACACAAAGGATTTAAACCTACACCTGCATCAACTTATGAGGCTATCGCACTAACCATTAGACCAGAACGTGGTCGCGGTAGAAGCCGTTCCAATGACCATATTTCCCTTGAGCGGCCAAACTTGGATCGAAATTCCTCCATAACTTCTTTCAAAGAAACGATTAGCAGAAACAGAAGTCAGATTCGGAATCAGCGTTCGAAAACGAGTGTAGTGGTGTACATCTCGTCTCAAAAAGCCACGGACATTGAGTATCGTTTCCTTGTTAGAGGATGGTATGCTCATCCACTTGTTATGCTCACAGCTAGCGGGATAACCTCGGTTTTGGTAGAGACTTTTTCATTAGATGTTCGCGAAGGAAATTTCTATGAGTTCGTAGCCTGGTTAATAGCCAAATTTAAGGGAAGCGAGTCTGCCAACAGAATGGACGCATACATTAGCGTGACGTGAAGTTAGCGACATGATGCCCGTCAATGTCCGGTAGGCTCATTATGCAAAATACTAGCACTGCTGTTTTGGCTTACGTCGTACACGCACAGAGCATGCTAAAAGAATTCTAGAAGCATAAGAGCAACATTTTTGTGATTAGCTTTCAAACAACCCCTAAAGGCCAAGTTTCAGCGGATTTTGAGGTTTCCAAATATTGGGCCACTCAAGTGAGGTGGTCATTTTTGAGCATATTAACTACACTATTAACTAACTATTAACTATCAACTTTGTTTTAGAGGGGTGAGTTAATTACATCTTCCCGCACTCAATGCCAAATATCACTCCTTCACTGCTTACACTAAAAATCCCACTTCAAGTAACCTCCAAATTATGGAAGTAAGAGCAGCCAAATTCCAGATTGTCCTATTTTTCGCTCTCACTATCTCAGATACGAGAGGACCAATTAGGCTCAAAACTTTCGTGAAAGCTACGAGGATTAGGCTATCGAATACATTAGTTCTTACCGCTTTCCCTGGCGACTCACTAGTAGCGCAGACTTGTCATATTGCCGTAATCCAATATTTCCGCAGTGTTCTTAGCTAAGGAAAAGCGACTGTACTTTTTTTAGAATAAACAATCTCATATGAAATTCCTACCGTATAAAGAAGAAGGTTAAGCAGTAGCAATGATTTGAATATCGCAGATACTTGAATGGTTTGAAGATATGTCAAGGAGGTGGCACAAAGCCCCTAACAAGGTGTGACAGCCACAGCTTTTCTGGAATTGTGCCACACCCCAGTAACTTACCTCCAAAAACGAAATTTAGCGAACATAATAAATATACAGTCGAGTAGATTCAGCGGTAAATATAGTGTGCTTGCACAGAAGGTGAAATGCGGTGAAATTTGCGCGTGAACAAGTAGCCACGCCAGTACTGCGGGAATCGTGCGCGCGCAATTGGCCGGCGTCACAGTCGAACCTATTTCTTCACGCGCAAGTTTTACCGCATCTCACCTTCTGTGCAAGCACACTATATTTACCGCTGAATCTACTCGACTGTATATAGTCTGACAACCTGAATCTTGTAGTTTGCGAGTAATTTGGGCTCGATTCGTCTTCTTCGTTCTGAGTGAGAAAGAAAGCGCAACCACTGAAAGCAAAAGACAAATGAGACATTGACCTGCTTCTAGTTTTATATTTTAACGGTTATTGTAACAGAATTCATTTTATAGGTGAACTAGCTGGCATACCCAGCTCCGCCGTATGTTCCGAATAGAAAATTCCATTTCTTAACCGATCCGAACCAAACTTGGCACACATACACTTCGGGCCCCGGCGGGTGTCACAGGCTACTTTTCGTCATCGATCGATATCGATTTTATCGATTTTTTGCAAAATTTGAGCTACGGGGCTGGGAGTTGGCACAGGGGGGTAAGTGAGCATGGGGATTACGAATACAATATTAGTTTTCGAAACCGTGCATTACTTTTATCGATTTTATCGATTTTTTTGCAAAATTTGAGCTAGGGGGCTGGAATTTGGCAGGGGGGGGGGTGTAATCGAGCATGCCGATCACCCCCACGGGGGTGATCAGCATGCTCGATTACCCCCCTGTGCCAAATCCCAGCCCCGTAGCCCAAACTTTGCAAAAAAATCGATAAAATCGATAAAAGTAATGCACGATTTTAAAAACTAATGTTGTGTTCGTAATCCCCATTCTCACTTGCCCCCCTGTGCCAACTCCCAGCCCCGTAGCTCAAATTTTGCAAAAAATCGATAAAATCGATATCGATCGATGACGAAAAGTAGCCTATGACACCCGCCGGGGCCCGTAGTGTATGTGTGCCAAGTATGGTCCGGTTCGGTTCAGAAATGGAATTTTCTATTCGGAACATACGTACAGACAGACAGACAGACATACAGACAGACAGACAGACAGACATACAGACAGACAGACAGACAGACAGACATACACACAAACAGACATTCTTTATATATAAGATAGAGAGTAGCGCTTTGTATTGAGTACAAAAAGAGTTGGTTATTTCACCTTCGCAATATAGTTACTTAGGTGTGAAAATGACCGCTTCACTTGGATAGCCCAATATTGGGAACCCTCAAAATTTGCTAAAACTCGGCCCATGGGGGTTATTAAACATAATAATTACGAATTTGTTACTAACTATGCATGGTAGAGCTTTTATGCCATGGAAACGGAACGCTATTATGCTGGTGGGAAGGGGGGGGGGGTAGTGAGACAGAAGTTAGGGAAGGGGTCGTAGTCGGAGCTTGTATGATACACCTCTTGCTCGACCTGGATCCTACTCACCCCACGGTGATGCACAGGTTTCTATGTGCAGAGGTTCTCGTACACAGTTTTTCGAGTTTACAGTCTTCCACATATGACCTGTGGATCGCTAGCACAACTCCGTCCGCAAAAGAAAAAAAGAGAAAAGAAAAGTTTACCTTTTGGTTTTATTCGGCCGCATGTAAAAAAGAAAGAGAAAAGAAAACTCTAGAATAAGTACCCTTTCCCCTTTTGGGGGACTATGCAGCACCGCGTGCTAGTGTCTTTATCAAAATGACACGAAACAAATGATAAACCAGCGAGATGGGCAAAAGAAAAAACTCACTGTTCAGCGGCCGTCGAGATCCCTAATTAAAGTGCACTAATGGTGCAACATGCACTATACGGCCGCCAAGATGGCGAGTGGAGAGGTGAACACGTAACGCGGTTTGTAACAAGATTCAAAACAATACGCAACAATTTAACAAAAGAAATATCGCAAGCATAGTATCATCTTCATCCACTTTTACGATCGTCTCCTGCTCTTTGCAATTCTATCTCGCACTGGCGGATTCGCTAAGAACGATTCCCTCAATCCCCCACCCCGCCAATCGCAAGGGCGACAAGCACATAGCGGGGGTACTATTTCCCAATGTGTAGACATCATCGCGATTGGAGTAAGCAGAAACGATAATGAAAAGCTGCCCTTTTCCTCTATTGATCTCTAGTTTCTCGTATTCATTCAAATTTATTTTAGTATAAGCATCCCTGGACGTCCTAGTGGGTCTATGGCTCTTTCGTTTTCCTATTCTGTAACACTAACATATTCGACTCCATGTGATTGAGAGTGGCTGGTTTCTCTCACCTGTTCATGGTTTCTTTGTCTATCTTCTCACTTATGGTGCACCGGGAGTGTATCGAAAATCAAAAAACAATAAACTAAGCTGAAAAAGCGATCAACCGTAATTTTCAGATTTCTTGATTCATCTCATAATTTTGAATTTATCGGCTGCAGAGGAGAATAATCATATCATCTACAGAGATTACGACAACAATTATAAGATTTCGGATGTGCTGCGGAAAATTCTTTCAAGCATTGACAGCGAAAGCCTCAGCGATATTCATGGCACAAGTGTGAGATACAGCGGGGAAGTGGACCTCAAGGCATACGCTAACGTAAACTGAGTATATAAGAAAATTCATTCGAAAGCATTCTAGTTTGATGATTACTACAGTTGATGCGCTGCGATGCCACGAAAATAGGCTGTGCCTGGGTCAAGTGCTCTGGTGAAGGAGGCGACGACAAGTATGCGTTGTATTGTCTTCTAAATAAGGGGTAAGCTTTCTTCAACAATGTTGAATTATCGCCCTGAGCTGAATGCGTGCGCGCCATAACTCAAAAAGGCGGATGAAAATGTTTCTTAGGGATCGTTCAGACCGCGCACAAAGGCGCACAAAGGCGCACGAAGGCGCACGAAGGCGCCGGAAAAGCCAAAGCGCAGGGATTTGCCGGCAAGTTGCCATATTGGAATATGCGTGAAATAACGTATATGTAATGTCGAGCTATTTGTGACTAACATACGTGCACAACGCGCGCTGTATTTCACGCGTATTCCAATATGGCCTTTGCCGGCAAATCCCTGCGCTTTGGCAAATCCGGCGCTTCGTGCGCATTCGTGCACCTTTGTGCGCCTTTGTGCGTGGTTTGAACGATCCCTTAGTGATCGAAATGCTTCGCTCTGCATTAGCTGCGCATTTTCTGTTGCGCTGTGCTGGAAAGTTTGCAACTTTTCGTTTAGTTGCAAAGGGGGGTGGAATGAATGGTAGACTTTCAAAAACTTTATTTCAGTAATATTCGAAAGGGTGACAGAATTTATGATACAAGAGGACCTGCATGCCGTTGTAGACATTGCGACAGATCTGGCAAATGTATACAACCCCCAACACCAAGAACTGAGGCACCTCCAACGCCCACTCTACCTCCTAGGCAAGGAACTGAAGCAAAGTTCTACAAAGAAGGTAAAGAGAAATAGGTACAAAGGTATTTTAATTAAGACGTTCACGATATTATGTTATGCCGTTCACTACGTAGACACATGTCCAAAGTTGTTAATAACGCCATCTGTAGCTTTCTAGAGTGTTTTGAGATTAGTTATAAGAATGTGGTCCAATTGTGACGAAAAACTGTACACTATCGAATAATTCGGAACGGTTTCGTTGGAGTGATGAAGCCACAGCAACGTCTAGGACATTGCGAGCTTAATTTATATAACTGCGCCCTTTTAAAAAACGTTTGTGGCCATGAGGGACTTAGTCATTAGAAGTTCTTGGCCATTCTTCCTTAGTTCATGAATAACATCAGGACTGATGAATCTTTGTTGTAGTGAAGAAACCGAGAAGTTGTTCAGAATAGTATATTATTTAGAATTACAGAATCTTATAACACCAAAATCGAACTGTATACTTAAAAAATTATTTGCAAAAGAATTATGCAAAAAAATTTGAAAACGTATGTGAAGTACTACTTTTTCAAAGTTAGTCTGTCTCCAGACGGTCACCAGACGATCTGAGATCGTCTGGAGCATATATATGTTGCCACTTCACATAAGTTTTGGATTTTTGTATCATGGACGGATTCCCCAGTCAAAATCCTATCCCTGAGTATGAAAACATTCTCATATCACTGCCTTTCTTTGTTTTTCGCCTTAATATCTTCAAAAATCGCTATGCTAAATATCGCGCTCCAATGCCAAACACTTGTGCATGCGTAGTATTCACAATCTAAATTCCCACTCTTATCACGTTTTTTCTTTCAAACTAGTGAATCTTTCTTGTTTCCGTCTTTTTCTGTAGGTAGGTCAAAAGGTACTTCGTTTAGCTTCCGAAAGTCAGGGGAGACTTTGTTTTCAGAAACCTAGAGGCCGACTCGTGCCGGGCCCTGGTTAAGGCTAGAGGATGACCAGAGAGCACAAGCGCGAGAGAGACGCAGACTGCGTCACGGGCTCGAGTGGCTTTAATTAAGCCGCAAAGCTTTCCCTTCCAGCCGCCAATCCAGTTGAAACAAAGGTTAAACTCTTTTGGAATTTGTACCAGGCGCCAATGCTGAGCGTACCTGCTATTCATTCCCTAATCTACCTCTCGTGGGAAGAAATAACAGATAAAAAATTGATAGTGTAGAGCAAATTTGCCACACGGCAATTCACCTGGGGTTGTCATCAAGAATCCCACCGGAGAGGACAGTGCAACTGGAAAGAAAACTTCGTATTTAAACTGAAAACTATGGCCCGTAGTAAAGCTGCCTCATTCGATCTCAACTAAATAAAATTTCAATTAAGGCTTCTACGAGACAGCTTGCCCACAGTTGAGCCATTGATTGATGATGCCAACCTCCACGATGATATGATTGAGATCGCCACGTTCCTGCAAATATACAAATTAAAACGCATCCGCTAAACATTCACATTCAAATGATGGTATCATCGACGGAGATGTGGCCGCACTTGTTAGATCTTATTAAAGATCGTCACCCTGCAGTGTGGCTCCTCACTCAGTATGTTCGACATGTTCGAGTGACATGTATCGTAAGTTACTCAAGAGTAATTTACGAAAAGTTTTTCTGCGTATTATCATTTACACACTATTCAAGTCAACTGGTCGTCTAACTGAATGTGAACTAATTTAAGTAAGGTAGACGACCTCGTCAGGTAGACGGACGGTCAGCTGAAATTCCATTTTACATTCTTACAGCATGGGAAGGTGGTGATAGTCAGTCTACCTTACCAAATCTCGGATGAGGGCCTCAGTTCAGTTCACCCGAACTGAGCTTTACTACGGGCCTATATTTTACGTTGTCTATTCATTTTCTGATGTCTCTTTTATTTACAACTAAAGCCCTTATGCCCCTCATACATTAACATCCCTGCAGCTAGGGGAGCGGTGTCCGCACGCGGCCTTTCCATAGAAGGGAACCGCCCCCTTCATCGCAGGGATATCAGTGGGTAGGGCCTAAACAAGAGCGTACTGTCGTACAAACCGCTTTTCCGCCTTTTATACGTTCCCCGATGATCCCTAGCCTACCCACCCTCTTCTTCAAGATCAATTTGCTTTCTCCAAATTGATGAAGAACATCCTCGAGGCTTTACCTCTCATCTTACCTTGGCGGTGCTAGTAAGAAAGGTTCATACTGCATTTTGTTTGTTCCCATCAGAAACATGCCCAGCACTGTTGCAATAGATGACTACAACTTTGGGATAATTTTATTAGCTTAGAAGAAAGAAAAATGACTGTAAAGAACAGATAGTTGGCCGCTACGGACTTTATAAGCGATCGTAGACAAAACTGGAACACTTGGCTTACACATATGCTCTTGATATGTTTATAGTAATACGCTGTAGAAACGCTTGAAATGGTGCAGTGTAGAATCCATATTTTTGAAATTTCAAGATATAAAGCTTCCCTTGTTGCTTTGAATTCCCCCTTGTAGATAATCATGTATACGGCCTTTAAATTGTAAAAAGTATGCTAATTCAAGCAAGCAAAAAAGACTATAATGTTTGAGATATAACGAATGAAATCTTAGGACCAAACACAATATGCTCATGGCACGACTACATGGGCGACACAATGAGAATGCATATGCAAGACACTCATAACTTCCGACGGTAAATCCCACACTTTCAACTCTACGATGTCTCATAATTATAAAGCGGCTGTTTAGACACGTGCTCGCCTTGGGGAAGGGAAAAGTCAAGGACAGTAAAGGATGGAGCTATCCAGCTGCCACTAACATGAACTATCTAGTAAGTGAAAGTCCTAATTGCATTAAGGTAAGCGTCTGCTCCACTCTTTTTTCCCCTCACTCTTCCCCTCCCCCCTTTTTACATTTGAAAAGTAGTAGTATAAGCTTTCTAATCAAGGCGAAATAAAATGTGGGGTGAAGAGCTTCGTGATAAGAGTACAGTAGTTTTTATTGACATACTGCCAAACTTGATGAGCGCAAGAAGCAATCGATTCAAGTTCTAATCAACATTAATTCACCATAATTCATGTGACGTATAGGTACAGTACCGCTCCTAGCTTTCAAGAAAAAAGCAAGCCGCGGCGGTTGCCACAGTTCGTTAAGACTCGCCCCGTAGTGAGCCACACCTCTGAGGGCAGAGCAGTTGTAATCGAGGAAAATTTCCACTTTGGTCAACGAAAGCAGCCTTCTAGCTTTTGCATCGTGTATCACTGTTAAGAAGTTGTAAAGTCGACTGCAAGAAATCGCCCGGCTAGCTGTAGGCTGAACCCACGCGATTGCTTGCAAGATGGCTGACGAGTACAGGCGTTATAATTACTCATGTGCGAGAATGCGGTGTTGCCTGCAAGAGCCACGCCCGCCCGGTTGGTTCCGTGCAGTCAACTGTACCTGCGGTGGTACTTATCGACCTCCCAATCTTATCGGGCGCGTTTTTGCAGTTATAAACAGCGCTCAACTATCTCCGATTAAGTAAGAATGTGAAAACTTTTTCTTGTTTAGCAGACAATTTGGAAAAATTTTTGTTTCATAAGTTTGTGCAATTACCTTGATGTAACTTTATCTCACTCTACGCTTGCTCAATGAAAAAATAGCTTGCATCTATGGGTAGGCCATATTACGCGCGTAACGCACGTGTGCTTGGAAAATGAGTGGTCACTTTTTATTACGTTCTCACAGGTACTTTTCGTTACTTCTGTATTGCTGTATCAAAAGTTTCCCATTCTCTTTCTGTGCTAATTTTTCTCGCTATTTTGGTGATTTCTAAGACACTCTAAATCTGACAAAAATTGTTTATTGAACTCCTTTGAGTATCTGCAGTAACTTCAATACACACAAAGTTTGAAAACAGGAACCACAAGAATTTAATTGCTGGGACGTCAGGAAAAATTTTGACTTAGTTGCCTAAGCCTGTACTAGGTTGTTTTAAAAGTTCTGTCAGGTTTTTAGTGCCTTGGTATAACTCAGCTATTTTCTTAGCCATGAAAATCAGCACATTTCTTTGCTCTTTTCAATGCTTACTAATTTTCAATGAAACATCTTCCCAGTAATGTTTCAGGCTCCGAAGTAAAGCAAAATACATTCATGCCTATAAAAAGTTTCTAAGAAAAGAACTTCTGCAGCTTTCGTAAAATCACCTATGTGATATTTTATATTGAGTAAAGATGTAATGGGGTGTTATTTGCACACTTTTACCCTCACACAGAAAGTGTCTTACTTTTCAAGTTTGTCTTGAGAACTTGTTGACAAACTCAGCTATTCTGTTGTTCTATTCTCATAAAATCTTCTGTGCAGCAAAGACTATAGCATTTTATATCAGAAAATCACGAATCGAACAGAGTTTTTCGCCCTAGTACATCCCATATAAGACGTTCATATACACAGTTAGCGGGGACGAGTGGCGACTATGACCAGATCACAACACGATCCCGCAGCCAGCCGAGCCGCTACCTTCCGCGGTAAATTGGTACCAGAGTAATTTGGGAGGATATAAGCATGATTGAAAATCGGCTGATCTCCGCAACTTATTGTAAAAGGTCTGCACACATTTACTTTTCGACTACAAAGTAGAATGCGTTCGGAGCATGCCCGCAGAGGGTGCTGATAATATCCTACATATACATTTTGTGTACTTTCTGCTAAAAATCGGAGAAATGAAGAATCTTTATACGTATAAGCGATGCTGTGCTGTCACTACAATAAATTGTAAGCTAGCTTTTTTCAACACAGCAGTGCAACATTTTACCAGCATTTTACTTTATCAGCACAGCATTTTCAGCACTTCACATGTGCTAAATAGAAGTTTTATATTCTGCTAGAGAACCCGGAAAGGGGAGCTTTTTTTGATGGTTGAAGCCAGAAACTAAAATGATCTAGCTGCCCGAAAATCGAGGAAAAACATAACTCCCACCGTCCAAAAATCCTATGGAGTTCCTACAAATTTTTGACAAATTTTATAGGGAAGTAAGGACTATTTTTCGCACATTCAAAATTTCAGTCTGAGGATTGCTATTTCAATAAAAATATCTAAGATTACTGTAGAAGTACATCGATACTACTGCTCAATTCTCGTTTTTTGAAAAACGCCAGTTGTATGAGGTCTAATGTTATAAGTGCATGGTGCAGAGGGTGCAAACAATTTTCTGGGCTGCTTTCATTGATCAAAATACAGTTCTACATTTTATCACTTCAATAGCTCTTATTTCTAAGTAACGAACTCTCTAAGAGTAGAAGAGCAGCGGGCAGAAAGTTTGGTGAAGCAGTGCTGCTGAAGCTTGTCAGTCTTCCCGAGCAATTTTAGTGGTTTTCTCAACAACTCCTTACCCTATGGTCATGGGCTTGGGCAAACAGAGTCCTTCTTTTGCTTCGAGCTGATTTGACTCATTTTAGCTGCAATTTCAACCCAGTGTCTTGACAGATGCCCCACTGGGCAAATAGAGAGTAACTGACATCTCCAGAAACGATGTTCATCTTGAGCCACATTTTTTGTAGCATACTCCACTTTTTGAGATGTAAAAACCGGGTAGAGACAGCGGTCGTTTGAAAAAATCGAACGTGACTTCCTACGAATAATTCACTTTGTAGAACTGGGATTGTCAGTTGGAAGAAGACGCTTACAACTACGTAAAAGATTGCCCTACGCAAGGTAGTGGAGCACCCAACGAAAACTTCTTGCGAAGGAGAATCACTGCTCATGAGCCAACATATAGGGATATCAACAAACTGGTTACTAGATTACTTGATTTTAGAGTTTTTAGATAGTCCTGCATTTAGTCGGTTACTACATGGTGGAAGGTTCATCGCAAGCATAATGGCCTCGGAGCAAAAGTCATATTCCGTGGTAATCCTCCGTTAAGTAGTTTTACCCGGGTAAGTGTCTTGCTTAGAGGCAGCGCCGGCGATAAGGTAAGTGGGTTTTTGTGGTGATGTTGAAGTAGACCACAATCTAAGCGATGACTGAAGTTCGTAGCGAAAAAGGAGGTCTACCAAGCCTGAAATTTGCTTTGAAAGTGGCCCAGGTCTTACGGTAGGCCCGGACGCCGCCCACACAGCGATTTTGGATTGAAAGGCTAGAGTACGCATAGCGCATACAGTCATGAGCGCGTGGTCCCGCAACGAAACTGCGTCTCTACCCTGCATGCATCTCATACTCGTCCGAGCCTACCGTAGGATCCGGGCCACTTGAGGGGCGATTTGTAGATTTCGTAGACGCCCTTTCGCGCTGCAAACTCCTGTCATCGCTTAATTAGGGGGTCTGCTATCACATTACTATCAGAGCCGGGTAACCCCCAGGCTGGTGGGAGACGCTACCTTTAAAGAGAGTAGCATTCTCTTCTAGTAACATGAGCTTCGACAGATACCTGATCTGTTGCTCAATCGATATTAAAAATATCTTTGCAGATGGGCTGGGCTCAAGCTACAAAAATAGGCTGCGTCATAGCCAAATGCGGAGATGATTTTGTGCAATCCTGTCGTTATGGTCCAAAGTAAGTTCCAAAGCTCTACTGTAATCAGATACCTCACTTTGTATTATTGTTTAGGGTAAATCAAGTCAATCAACAAATGTACATCCCTGGAAAAGTCTGCTCTAAGTGCGATTCCCTTGGTCAGGGACCGTGCGTGCCTGCACTTGGACTTTGTGCAAAACGGGGCTGATTGCCTGTCTACTGTTCAGTTCTATTTGCAGTCGTAATAAAAATCGCATTTGCTTTTTTGTTAGCGGATTGCTAGAAATTGCAGTTAATTTCATGTCGAAAACTGTGATCAGCAGCGGCTCTATCAATCTTTTGGATGGGCTTATCATCTTTTTTAGTGAATGTTTGGTTGTTTGTTTTCTACAATGTTTTTTTTTCACGGGTTTTTAAATAGACAGTGCTATAGAATGAGATAGAAACTTAGACAAAATTACGGCAGCTTCAGTTAAAGGCTCTAATTCAGCGGTGTAAACAAGGAAAGGAAGTCCTTATCCATCAATTAAGTGACAATAAAACTGTCAAACTTTATCACTAATACAATCAAATTATAATCAACAATAAAAGATAGTCGAAATTCTATACATATGCGCGATTTTTTACTGCGACCAGCACTCCAACCTTAGTCAGTGCCAATCACATAAATAGAATGCTAAAATTCAGATAACTTTATATTGTGCGAAGCAAGGTTCATGTCGAAGTATTGGGCAGCATTGTAGGTCTGTCAAATCTTTCGCCCTCGTGCTGGTGCTTAAAACCTGACATAAAGTGAGCCCAGAGCTTAAGAATATAGCTGAAAGCACTCCCTGTGTTTATCGAAAAGCATTACATGACATTGATTACACGTACGGCATTGATGCTGAAAACTGCCTTCATTCAATGTCTGTTATTTCCAAACCTACTCGTGCGCCTTCTACAAGCCATGGATATCTGCGTTATCTTCAAAAGTAGATTTAAGAGATTGCTTACGTTTTGTATGGTTAGAATGTATTCACTTTCGTTTTCGTTCTTCGTTTTTCACCGGATTATATATAGGATTAGAAGCGATGTCCGAGTTCCGCGATGATCTCTGCTTCAAAGTTTGAGCTTGTTTTTCGTGCTGAAATTTGTGAAAGATACCGCTTACGGTAGTCGTCGACGGCTCACAAATTGCTTGAGTCAGTAGCTCAATAAATTCTCTGACTGCCATAAAGTCGATTGAAGTGAACCTTTAGCACTGCATTTCATTAAGTTTCAGATTTCGTTTTCAAACGCTATGCATCTTTGCGAATTTTTAGATGTCCAAAAACTTTGCGACAGCTGATTATCAAGAAATATTGGTTATTGTAAGGTTTTTATGAGATGTCTGGGTATTTTTTGATGACTCAAAAGGCTAGTTAATCTCTTCTAAGCAAAGCTATTCTCAAACGAGAAATATCATATTTTCTTATTTGAACTAGCGGCTTCGGAGATGGTCAAAACATCAAAGAATTCAGAGAAAGTTTTATTTGTTTCAACTACTTGGAATCTCACGCTGGAAACAAGGCAATATATAATTTCGATGCAATAAAGAAGCGGATATTTGCCGATGTTTAATAGTCATCTGTCTATACTACGCAACATCGCCAGACCTTTAGAGTTTCTTCAGTTGCAGTTGTATAGTAAGGAATAGGTTAATCAAATGCTGAACTCCAAACATTTCTAACGGCCACTTCATCATAATGTATCCTTTCATTGTAAATCTCAAACAGAAGATTTAGAATGGCTTGTTACTTAAAGGCAGCGGTTCGGCAAAATGATAACTTTGGAGGTTCATACTTCTCGGTCCCCCTAGATGAACTAAGTCCGAGATTTTGCTTTGCAGCTTCAAAAGAGACCAATAATCCGCTTTTCCAAACGTGAAAAGTGCTATTTGGACGGACGGAGCGGCCTGGAGCGCGATTGGCGCGTGAGTGCACGTACCCATCTCGGCGGCAATTGGATCCTTGGCTCCAGTAGCCACTCTCGCGACCCGCCCAACAGCAGTTTTCACTTCCGGAAGCGAGCTATTGATACCTTTGAAAGCTGAAAAGCACAGTTTCAGACTCAGCTCATCCAAGCGAGTCAAGAACGATAGATATCCCAAAGTTGCCATTGAGCGGCTGCCTTTAGTTCTGCGTCAAATCGCAATGTACATATTTCTTTAGACGAAATACTGTGGCATATTATTGAATTAGAGTCTTTTGGATAAATTTGCGGTTTTTGCGACTCAATTTGGTAGCTGAAAGAGACACCAGTCTTGCCTAAGAAAAAGACTCGAAGTCAGCACATCAGAAGTTCCGCATTCAGCGTGTTTTAAGCTGAAAAGAAGATGGTGTAAAGAGTGTAGATATTTCTCTGTTTGCAAAAAATTTGCGCAGGGAACTTGCACCACAATTGGTAGAAAAGAGAAGGCGGTAGTACAATAAAAAAGACAAAGACTCACTTGAAAATCTAGCAAAAAGGGCGCAAATAGATACGCGAAAATATTCTTAAGGTGATTTTGAGTTTAGATTGTTATCTCTTTTGATTACCCCATTACGAATGAATACTATATTACGTTGAAGCGAAAGCGTTGAAAGAGATCTCTCCAAAAACCAAAAAATCAAACCGATAAAGATGCTCCATGCTCTTCTTCGCCTCCACCTCGTATGTCGTTTTGTGAACGTAAATGGGAATTACTTTCGTTAAAGCTGCGTGCAGAGTTGGCCGAAGAGGTTAGCCCTTGACGACAGCAAGAAAGGTCACAGGTTCGGTTCCGCGGTGAGACTAATTCATTTGGCAAAGCTCTGCCCACAAATCAGCGTCAGGCTGCTGATCCAAGGAAAAGCAAGAGAGAAGCAGGCTGAAGAAGATACGTCGTCGCATCACAATGCCCTTTTATGTTTCATCAGGATCCTCGAGTGAAAGCTAAGGCTTTCCTGGAGGCAACGCGCATTTAAGCCCGACAAATGCGAACAGCAAGCGAGGGTTATCGTCCCAAGAAGATGAGCGGGGACGGCTGAAGAATCCAGCGCATCATGGACAAGCAACGATTCGAGTCCTTTCATCTGCGATTGGCCACCACTCGACGTTGGATCGGGCGACACCAAAACTGGCAGATCTTCTTGGAAGAGTGGACATCCCTGGATCCAAGAGACCAGTGTGAGAAGTCACACGATTGTAGGAGACGGGTTCAAGCTTCACGGTGTCATCGGAATAGTGGTTTCCGAACGATTGAGAGATAGTGTAACAACTGTAGATCGATTGAGTGACCGGCCATGAGGTCAGGCTAGATGTCAGTGAACGCCTTCGAACAGTTACCGCCTACGTCCGCAAGCACGGATTCTGGCAAAAACTTGATGACTGTATCAGATGTATACCTTCAGGAGAGACTGCTAATTTTAGCAGATTTTAGCGGCTACGTCGGTGAACAAGGAAGTGGTGCAATAAGGTGTCACGGAATTGACGGGTATGGAATCCGCAACGAAGAAGGCGAGCGCATTCTGGAGTTTGCTTCTGCTCATGACTTAGTGCTGTCAGACAAGTACTTTATCACTTTATCATTACTCTATAGTAAAGCGCAGGGGGGCCCATCGCAACGTCAACAACCGGCGATGTATGTTTGGCGAGATCTTTGTCTCAATTTTTGCACTTTCGCCCGCTTCCATGCTGTTTACAGTTACGATTCGACCCAGTCGCGTTAGTGCAACCTATGACGGGGTGTATGTTGAGAGGTGCCATTTTTTTGAAGACATAGCACTAAACTGAAGTTTTAACTTAGTGACAGCCGGAATCGCGCCTCTTGACCGTCTCCCCCCCCCTCTCCCTCCCTGTGGCTGCACGCTTCTCATTTGGACCCACTGCAAGAATTGTCGTTCCGGCTCATGTTTCTATTAGCCGTTCCGGCTTATGTCTTCTCTTACATCACACAGGCCCTGCTTCAAAGATTGACCACAAAAAAGTCAAGGAGTTCCGGTCCGACAATCGAAAATAAGCCAATCTGAGAATTGCTTTTTTGGATTTTTGTAAAACGGTCAGAAATTTGCAAACAGTTTCTTGAGGACAACAAGAAACCTTATTTATGGTATGACCTATGTAACTAACGAACAATATTTCGTAAAGAGTGCAAGCTTTTTAGCCAAAATTAGCGACTCAGACTGATTTCGTTAAACATTTCGACTCTTCCGGTTTTTTTTTGCTTCCAGAAACTCTTTCTTTCCAGTGGAGTGAAGCATTCCTAAAGCAGAAATTGGTGCACTCTGCCACAAGATAATCTGAGGAGACTGTTAGTCGGCTGCATGTATCGCAGTGATACCTTTTGAGTCTACATCAGATTCCGAACACGAAATGAATGAAGTTGATATTTGTTCAAAACATACGTAAGGTACGTAATCTAAAAGGTTGCTTAATCTAAAGTCTCATTGTGTATTCGATAAATTTGGGCAAAGCTCTGCAAACATCCACTCTGGAGCACCTAACAAAGGTGATTTTAGGTGGAAGTAATGGATTTCTTCGAAAACAAACGGAAAATTACTTTGCTCTCAAAACAAGAGTGAGACTTTCACAACCGAGCAGAGCATGGAATAGTAGAAATTAATGAAGGTTTTACTAAACTCAGTCTGCAAAATGAACGCAAAGGGCAAATTACCGGGCGCCATCAAGAAGTCGAGGGAGTCGAATACCTCAACGCTGCCTAATAAGTCCGTGAATGCCAAACATCGCAGCTCTCACAATATTGAGATTTTGCCTAAAATTACAAGTCGAGTTTCTGAGCACGACTTTCATATTCAGCTAATGAAATAAGAAATAATTGCTTTGCTTTAGCTTTACAAGTGGGCCAGCACGCAAAACGAATACCATTCTTGTGTTCAGCATTTCAAATAACCCCATAAACCAAGACTTACTCAAATCTGTGAAAATTATTTATGCCCCATGAACTGTACTCCGTAAGCTTAAACTTCTGTGCTATTGATACTGGCAGTTACTAACGCACTGCTGCCTCTTCTTAAAGGCATCGTCCACCCAAATTTCTCGACTTCCATGTTTTTGTCGCTTCCGGGCCTTCTGAAGGCCTTGATTTCAAATATGAAGTCGAGAATCCCAAAAAACCCTATTTTGGAGAAAGCGGGACGGGTGGAAGTGCAGTTTGCAGGGCTGCGGCGCGGTTATCGGCCGGCGTATATCAGCGCGCCGCAGCCCCCATTGCTGCAAAATGGGCGGAGTGACCACCTTTGGATCACGTATCACTTACCTTCCAAAGCGGATTTCTCACTCCGGAAGCAATCTTTTGCGGGGAAACTTGGGGGATTGGCCTAGTGTGGGGGCCCACATTAGTATGCCAATGATTCTCGTGAACCCTAACTTTGGGTGGACGGTGCCTTTAAGCATGAAATGAATTAGTGGTAAATTTTTCTGATTTTGACAATTAGCATGGAGAATTAGGATGACAGAGCACCTGCCACTCGTAGAAAATACTTGACAAAGCGATTAATTAAACTGGCTTAATAATGAACTATCGATCGCTCCACTGGTGGTCTAAGTTCTCTAATTTTGTATACAAAAAAGTCCTATAGTGCCTTTTTTACCCTAAGAAGCTTGAAAACTAAAAGGATGGTAGATCAGTAATGAGAAGATGCAGGTTAAAACGACTTGCAAACCTCGCTTTTGATTCGTGAATCTGCATTCTTAGCCCGGAACTAAAAAGCGTGGATATTCGCAATGGGGAGTCAGCGTATAAGCTCAATAACGGCGAATAATCAATCCGCTATCAATTTCTTGATTTTTTACTAAGTTCGTGACAACGAAAAGCTGTTAGAAGCAGTGTTGAGCAGGGCTCGGCACAAGTGGCTTACCGGGCAAGCTGGATCGTTTTGGAGGTAAAAAGCAAAGGGGCTGTAAAAAGAAAAAGTCATAGATTTTTCTCCCTTCACATAATTTTTTTACATGCATTACATAACTTTGATCTACATCAAAAATCCCACAACTGAGTTTTTGAATCTCCCCAAACGCCCTTTTCCTCGCCTAGTTATAGCCCTCCAAATATTTTGTATGGCGGTAGCAAGCCTGCTCCAAGCGCTCCATGATGCGCGCCGGACACAGCATGCCGTCAATTCGCACAAAACGAATATCTTTGGTTTTTTTGGCTGTTCCATGCTGTTATATTCCATTACTTTGTTATTCGTGTCTGATCCATTCATAAATCATGTCATAGGTGATTTCGTATTTTTGAGGCAAAGCCTGCGGGGGACTTCGTTCCCGAAAAATTGAAAAAGCCACCTCATGCCGAGCCCTGGTGTTGAGGCATTATCGCACATGGTCAGTAATCTTGAGGTCTTGATTAGGACATTGCCGATATCGGCGCAGATAATTAGTGTATCGTGGCTGAGAATTTCTAAACTAGGCCTCGCCACCGTATTCGTTTGCCGAGTTGCACAGACTTGTACGCAATCGTCTGCGGACCCACCGCCCCTGCAAAGGTCCTGCCGCAAAAGCCTACTAATCGATGTAAGTTGTTTGCCAAATACGGTCGTGGAACGGTTCTCACTGTCTCAAACAGAATATAGCTATTCGTAAAATCAATCGTAGTGGGTTGTGGCCAAGCATGCCGAAAAAGGATCGTATAAGGTTGAACCGAAAAGATACAAGATACAAGCATTTGCATAGAATTACTCGATTTCGATATTTTCTAAGCAAGGTATTCAGAAAATGCTGAAAGAGGGCAGAATGAATTCAAAATTTGTACATTTCCCCTACAGTGTTGACTTGATGCAGTGGCAAATTTCGAATCCGCCAATGCGCAAGTGTGATTTTTTGATGTTTATTTTAATGTTTTCCCCGTAATTGGCAAAGGCTTCACTCAGCTTTTTTGAGAACACTTTGCAAATGATCATCGATCAACAAAACAATTTCCGGGTTATCAGTAACCATCTGCCATCTATCGGGAGGTTTCGTTATTCATTTCTGCAGAAGGAGACTGGAAGTGACGCAAATAAAAATTGTCAAGAAAGCGCATCACACTATCACATTCCCAGTTAGAGGAAAAATCAGCAAAAAACTACACTTTCGTCGGCTTTAACGAGTTTGAGTCCACTGCACATAGAAAACAACACTGCGTAGAAATTCCGTACAAATTTTTTGGGTCCATTCTGTCCTCTTCCAGTATTTTTGGGAACCTTGCTAAAAATACAAAAGTTGAGTTGCTATTCGATTGCTTGGACCTTTCGCAAATTCTCTTTGGCAAAAAGCGTTTGTAAAGAAAACGCAATTTCTTTTTCTAAAAGAAAAGATTGTTCCTGAGTTTTGATACAACAAGAATTTGATTTTTTGAAAAGGGGCGACAAAACTATGCGGTCAACCTAATATCTATGAACCCAATAGAAACACCTAGGTGTAATAGTGTTCACCTTGCGACACCTCCAGAAATTTATGTCAATTATGAAGATAATCTGTTAGCTCAGGGTAATGGCATGTTTGATCCTGATCCAAATCGCATGACCGTATACTCTACCAGGCCTACTATATCAGTCTCACAATATTGAAAAGCGTTCGAACTTTAGCTTGGCCTCACATCGGGTAAAGGAGGAGTGCATCCTTTGAAAGCAAGTGTATTCGACTTGCTTCAAACGATTCAGACACACTAACACAAAGACTGGAAGGAGTTTCTTTACATCTACACTGCGACACATTTATTTGGGAACTCTTCATATCTTGAAATTCCCTAAAATTTAGCTGTCATACGATCATCGCGTTGATGAAGTCTGTGTACATAAGACTGACAGACAACTTCATTACACATGTTCTCTTCAATTAAAAAACTCGAAAGCTCTGAAAAGTTCCATAAGCAAGACAGGTTGGATGCCCCGATCTTCCCATCGGTATAGTCATCATCTCCATCCGCCTCAAATTACCAAATAGATGGCTATATGCTCTTTGGTGGTGATTTTAAGAGTGAAGTGATATTAATCTAGGCGACGATGTGGAGAACAGACTACAAAAATCTTTAAAAATGCTGCCACTCACATCAACATTATTTTCACCATTATTTCTGCTAGAAGATTTCAGAATTACAACAGACTATATAGTAAAACTAGTGTATTTGTATCAATCATGCACATTATGTAGTATTTAGCATAAAAATTTTTTTGAAGTATTACACAGAAAAATCCAAAACACTTGATTGGGAGAAAGCTGTAAAGAAATATGCGAAATTACCATGGTATAAGAGTTTTTGTGCTCCTTCAAGTTATCAGCATTTGTTGATCACCATTTGTAAACAAAATGATACAGTTGGAGCTCCGCAGAGACTCCGACAGAAGGCAAAAACTACAACCAACAGGGTCCTTCCTAAAAAGTTCTGGCCAGCTTCTGGCGAGCCTTGTTGTTAGGTGAATGCCCACGACGCACTGCGAAGGTTTATGGCGACTAGCCAAAATTTATCGAGGGTCGAATATGAAACACCGTCCACAAAATAATCTGCAGGAACAGGCGAGTGTTTATATGAGTTCGCAGAATTACACTGCACAACATAGTATGTGCATGTGAAGGACTGCCCACCCGAATTCGAAAGCGAGAAAATCGCCACTCCTCCAAAAAATGAGTGACGTAACAATTAGCTATTTGTAATTTCGCCTGGCACTTCTACTGCTTCAAATAAGATTTCGCAATGGAGATTCTAGCTCATTTGAAAAAAGAAACTCAGTAATCGAGCTTGGAGTTTATTTTGCATTGTTTTGAGATCCTACACATTCTGAACTGCCTTTATCAGCTCGAAAAGATCCGTAGATGCAGTGTACTAAAAAAGCTTAATTGTTTGTGTGTTGAGCTGAAACGGTACATTTTCCAAAACTTTATGGAAGAATCAACAAGTTCGCATGGAAATCTTCCAGAGAGCTCTGATTGATACAATCTCCAAAATCTGACCTTACTCCGCTGAAACAGCTCAGTTAATGTTCACTCAACGACATTTTTTTCTTTTCTTACCTTGTCCAGGAAACACCGCTACTTGGTGTGGCGGTTTGGTTGGCCGCGTTAGAGTCGCAGGAGCAGGTTTACGTTTGTGTTTATGTGCTTTGTTACATTTGTTTTTACAACACGGGTCTGTAAAATACAAGCATGTTCTCACCTTTGTGTACACTACAAAGCTGTAACTGCTACCCACCTCCACAATGCACGTGGCACGAGCAGCAGCAGTGGCACTGAAATAGAAACTTTCTATATTCCTTGTGTCGAAGTACTACTTTACTGACTAGTGAAAGGAGAATTTCTTAAAGAGAGTGCACTATTCTTTCACATTATATATCAAGCTACTGCTGATTATTGTCGAACTCTGCGTTTCTACTTGTCCAACACTTTTTAAACTTATAGCCTTGCAACTTTTGGTGTTTGAGCCCATTCTAAAGTTTACTGACTCTGTGATGATGATGATGATATGCCATGTTGTTTTGATGATGGTGTGATCCCTTGCATTTCTTGCAAACGTAATATTTCATGGGCCTAATACACCTAATGCTGTTCCAGTGGTAGTCTTGAACATCATACAGCTTTGCTGGATCTTGGTGGAACTGAAATTGCAGAAGATGGAGATGGTAAAAATAATATGCTAGACTCGCACTACCTGTCCACATGTTTCTTCCTTGGGCCAATCTGGCTGATGTGCAGCCCACTTGTTATAATTCATCGGGCTTCCGTCTATCCATCTCCATTCGTTGTTCGCATTCTTACGAAGGCCGATATAAACAAATTGTGTAAAAGATGTGACACTACTGCCAGAGGATGTGATTTCTGCAAAAAATTGAGAAGTGCCCAGTGAAATAATTGTGCCTTAGAAAAACTTACTGTGAATAAAGTTGTTTTCTGCTTCGCTGTGTATGGAAACCAAATGAGCACCATGTTTTCGACAAGACGCCTCAGCATTGCCAAAATCCTTTGCATCTCTTTTAACCTAGAAGTAAGAGTAATTGAAGTAAACGACAAAAGCGTACCATTTACCATATAGTCGCATCCACCAAACCGCAACCAGACATCGTATTTCAAGCCGGCTGCAATGCTTGTTAAATCGTCTGGACTAGAAACACTTGAAAATAAATTTTACCAGTTGTAGGCTTGCGAGTGGTTGGTCTGAGCGTAATCCTTCGTCTATTTGTATATCTTGTAGACTTGCGCCTACTTGTATACTTACGTAAGGCAATGTGTCTCATCCTGCTATACATGGGTCTTTCGTTCAATCTATGCAAATGTATGTGTCTATATGCAGTATGTCTCATTCCGTTATGTATCGCATGGGGTATATATGGACCCATGGGCTCCCTATGCGGATGCATATGTGGTCTGCTTCTCGGCTTAATATCGATGTTCACATTCACATTCACTGGTCTCACTGGATTTCCTATGTTGATAGGCTGAGAAACCGAGTGTGTGTGGGATTTAGACCCATCTAGAATATCTATCTTCGTATGCTCTTCTATTCGAATGTTCAGCGGCACCTTGCCCTTTGCAGAATTCTTAGCTGGTCCCCTACTGTGTTTCACATGCCCACGTCCACGGTGTCGGTTGTGAATCTTGACTCTGGACTTACTTTTGAACTTTACTTTCAGATTCTTTGATTTGTCTAGCTTTATGTTGGCAGCATGAAACACCGTTTTTGATTTCTTAACGACTCTCTTATGTACTGGTTTCTGTGCCGGTCTTTTGGTCTTCTTATGCGCGGGTTTTTGTGCCGGTCTTTTGTTGGTTCTTTTATGTGCAAACTTTTGTCCTGATCTTTTGGTGGTCCCCTTATGCATAGGCTTTTGTGTTGGTCTTTTAGCGCTTTTCTTATGCAAAATTTTTTTTATTGATTGGCTCTTTTCGTCCTCAACCATGCGCACAGACCTGTCAATCACGCTTTTCTTATCAAGCTTCACTTCAGCATGTGCTGAGTTTTCCATATAGTTCATATTTATAGGTTGAGACACTACGTACATATTTGGCCTAGCTTGAAGCTTTATATTCGCAGGTTGGTTAGAGACTTGATAGTTCACGTCGACTGGCACGCGAATGATTTGCCGCTGAGTTTCGACGTGGTTCATTCTGTCACTCAGATGTGTGGCTTCACTTGATATATCGTGTTGATATGAGAGTGGTGCCGCAATTTCAGTCACATCAGCAGAGTTAGCATAAACATTTGTCCCATGGACAACTTCGTCGATGATAGTATTAGCTATCTCTGGTTCAACTCGTACCTTCGTATGTGTTATATTAAGCAGAAATTGCGGAGGTGACGCAGCCATGTTGATGACGTTCGCAGAGTCTTCTGCACGCGCGCTTGCTTCGTAGTTTGTGACTTCATGGACAGATAGGTTCTGGGTAAACATGTGAGTCATCTTTTCTTCATCGGGCAAAATTTGTCCTCCCGCATCCACTTTTGTGAGAATTGCCAACAAACTTAACAGCATTTCTAAACCAGAAACTGATACATCTTACCAAAAAAATTTGAAAAAACATGTAGTCGACTGCGGACTCTCTAATGACATCTGTCATCAAATTACATCAGATTCCGTACACGAAATGAATTAATTTGATCTGCGCTCAAGACATTGCAGTTGTACAGGTGTCTCAAAAACAAGTGCACACTGTTTGATCGCTAAAACTCTCTTGCTTCATTGTGTTTTGTAACCTTTTGAAACCATTCTTTAGAGTGACTTAGACTTAGATTTTAAGATTTTTTCAACTTAGATTTACTATGGAGCGAATTTTTAGTCTCTCTTCGTTACTGTAGGATTAAAGGCAGCGTCCGGGCAAGATCCACCCCCACCCGGATAGATTAGCACATAGTTGTAAAGCGGGCCCCATGAGTACCCGATCTGCGTTGGTCCGATCCTTTGACGTGGTTTCTAAAAGGAGATACGGCCTGTGATACCCATTACAAACCTCCCCTGAGGACGTGTTCTCACGGATCGATCGATCATGAATTGTTTGAAGATGCACCCATGCAGTTGCCTCCTCGGCGGCGAGCCGAGGGGATGAACAATCCAAAACTCGTCCACGCCCTCAAACAGGGTCCCTAAGAATTGGGGGGGGGGGTTGAGGGTTTTGGACAATTTGAACTTTATAACTGCAATTAGGGCCACGGAAAAGCCCTAGAACGACAAAATCATGAGAGGTGAAATTTTGCCCGGGCTCTGCTTCTAAGGTATCCTGTGTGCCCTAAAAGTTCCCATGTGAACCAGCGTGCGTACGTCTTGCGACGCTGCCTTTCGCTCTTTTTGACACGTTTCTCCTAAGATTTCAATGGAACTGCCCGAGGTTAACACGTTCAAAAGAGCAAAAGGCAGCGAGATGACGTGGTACCTATGGGAATCTTGCTGCGGAACAAACGATAAGAACTTTGACAAAGATTTTAGGCCATTGGAGCCATATTTTGCCTTAAAATTAAAATCAGACAAGCCAAGAGCTCTTATACTAAGCTTATAAAAGTCGCGTTTTCGAATATGGAATTTTCCTTTTACTGTGGTTCTTCTTTTCTAAGTTATCCCAGTTGAACCGTAACAATTGTTTTTCCAGCATCTGTCATAATTGTGATTACACCGTTAAAAAAGCTGAAAACTCCCGCAAAAAAGTTGTGCACTGAAATCAGCATGCTAAAACTCTAGTACACAATTTTTGCAGCCCTTTTTGAAACGAAACATGTTAACGGCCTATTTCACTATGGTTCTTTTAGATTGCCCCATAAGCCTTTTCATACCTGACTTTTCAGCGACATAAATCAATTCTTCTTGAACTTCTAATAGAATGCAGGGTACCATTCGACAGATCAAAGCAAGCTCTATAAGATGGCGTTCAAAATTTTGCACCAAGCTCAATCCGCAACAAGTTCCAAGCCAAAAATTTTTTTTCGAATTTCCGAAAAAACAAAATATTCATATCTCAGTTCAAAACAAGTCTGCAAATTTCCCACTTACTCATGCATATACTCTTTTCATCGGATATTTACATATGCACTTGCTGCATTCTTCTGATGATAGAAACCAAGAAAAAAACAGTGCGCTCAATAGGAACAGAAACCAAACTTTGATTATAGCCAAAAAGCAGAGAAGGGCTTGATCTGCAAGCTTCAATGCTCAAATTAAACTTCGCCTGCATCAGTTCTGTGTTCCCCGCAAATAGTTGATTATATAGCTTATCCACTCAGAATTACTGCCACACTTTTGCAGCCTACTAAGTGCTCTAGTTTTTTAAAAATATCGAATTGAAGGTCCGAATATGAAAAGAATTATGGGACAACCTAAGATATGCGGTATGTTCTTACCGTAACCTTACAGTAACGAAGAGAGATCGGAAAATCGGTTTATGCGGTGAATCTAAGTTGCTCGTTTACAGAATGGTGTCAAAAGATCGGCAAAAGACATTGAAGATAGAGGCCCCTAGTAAAGTTCGACAGTTCAGATGGACTGAACTTAACCCATCAGTTGAGCTTAGGTGAGGTGAACTGATGACCGCCACCATGCTATATGCATGGCGAGTGAACTGATAGTTGACCATCCGTCCACCTGCTCCAGTCAACTCGTGCACATGAGCTGAACTGAACGTGAACTGATGTTAAACGAATGCAAATAGTGTGTAAAAGAGGAGACGCAGACTAGACTCCCGTAAGCTTCTGAGCAACTTACGTTACACATCAGTTAGGCTAAAAATGCAGACAAAATCGGCGCAAAACTGCACAACCGCGCCCAAAAAGGAGAGAATTGATGAACAGCTGATTTTGGCGAGGAAAACAAAAAAAACAAATATTCTCTTTTTTGTAAACTTTACTGACCTTTTTTCAAAGCTGTCCAAACGAGAACTATTTGTTCATTTTATTAAATTCATGCTGCAACCATTCCGCTTTTTCGTAAAATTTTCGTCACAAAATGTGTTTTTCTTTTGTCCGTGCATTTGCTGGGCGAAATCCTTGATAGCGGTTATCATCAATTGCGATAGTGGCCGCTATCAAAGATTGCCCGGCGATATAGCAAAAGTCGTATCGCTAGGCGGAGTGAACCACGGCCGCGCGCGTGTAAGTCCAATCGCTTGCCCTTTTGACCATACCGGCTCGAGTGGTCTTTTTCAAAAACTCACTTGATCATAATGTCTAAGAAGCGATCCGCATTTATATCAATAGCTCACCGGATGCTAGACTGAGGCGCGATGAAGTCAACTGCTGTCCGCCTCAAGGGAGCTGCCCTGATGGGGTTTTGCTAGGGCCAGAGTGTCATTAACGATCAAACAGTGTGCACATTTTTTGGGACACCCTATATATTCCGAGAGTACAGTTGTATATCCTGAGAGTTTCATCAGCAAATAGCATCATGCAATTCCTTTATTACTGGATTTGGGTAGAACTCTGTAAACGTCCTTTCGGGCAACGTGACAAAGGTTAATGTGAAAAGTTAGGTTGAGACCAAGTTTTCCGGTTTTTTCAATTGTTTCTTTTGCTTCTTTCTGCATACGGTGCATTCCAATGCATCATGTTAGAAAATTACTTGAACATTTTTGGTAGAAAGTAATATTATAGTTCCGAAGTAAAGGTAAAGTCTCTCCAACAGAATCATCTAAATGGAGCTTGGAACTGTACAGTACCCATACTGATTATCCGACAGAAAACGCAAAAAACTGGCGATCCGCGTTTTTTTCCCGTTTTTCCTCATAACTTCCTTCAGATTGCATAAAATATGAATAGGAGAAGAGCGCAATACTATGCTTGTCCAAGCAAGTTTTTTGATATACTAGACTACCTAGCATTCCATTTTCAGTCTGCTTGATTTTTTGTGAGTAAGAATATCGCAGTGGTGTAGTGCGGTGCGAGACATACTTGGAAGACTCTAGTAAGTAGGTTTCGGTAAAGCTGTTCAGTGAATTACCGTGCCCTAGCGCTTAATCGGAGACCTTTTTTTTAGATAGAAAGATAAGCCGGTGAATTTTGAAAGCAATCATGTCTTCCAATTTACCTAAGTAGCCCGAAGTAAGACGCTAATTTGCAAAGCAAGATTGTTTTTCCTAATTAGCAGGCTAAATATCCCCTATGCGCAAGTTTTTTAAGAAATTAGGCAGTGGATCAGAGGAATGGACCTCTGTTAGATTTTGGTAGTGTTAGGTAATGGCCCCCCGAATACACCGTAGCCCCAAGCCCACCCTCCAGTTCATGCTCTAGGTCCTGTAAGAGCGCTTCAAAACTCCACTAATGACGCTCACTGAGTGGAAGTGGGCGGGGCTGATGGAGTTTGAATCTCCATTACAGCACTTACAAGGGAATGGTCAGATATCGAAGTGGCTAATCCAGACATACTGCATTCCATTAGATGCAGCATGAAACGCTGACTCTAAATCTATCTTCCTTATCTACTTATCGCTATTCTGGACGAAGCTATAAGCCAATAAAGGCCATTATTTTGCTTAGAAATTATGTGAAAGTGAAAATTTGGTCGTACAGAGCCACGTTCGGCTTAATGCTGGGCCAGAACATGCGGCTACCTTACTTCCAATTATCAAAGCTTAAAGCTGAGCCGAAAGTGCAACAATGTGCTCAATTTCGCAATTTTTATGTACGATTTTTCCACAATAAAACTGCTTGTAGCTTCGTCCACAGAAGCGATAAGCAGATAAGAAAGACAGATTTAAAGTCAGCGTTTTATACTGCATTGAATTCTGTACACCTCGTTGGCTTTAGACACTTCGACTTCTGACTATTCCCTTGCATAAAATGGAGGGTGGGATTGGGGCTACGGTGTATTTGGGGTGTATACTACCTAACACTATCAAAATCTGACAGATGTCCATTCTGCTTATCCACTGCCTTTAAATCTCTGCATTCGCGCTTTGCCGTTGAGTGCTTTTTCACTGTCTGCCAGAAGCCATGACATAATCACACGATAAATCATTTCTGTCATTGTTTCTGTCGATTTCTGTCAAGGTGCAGTATACGATGTATGGTTACAAATCAGGGCCCGGCGGGGGTGGCGCTTTCACAAGCTGGATATCGTTTTTGGCCCGAAAAAGCAAAGGGGAAGTCGTTTTTTGGGGTCCGGGGCGGAGCCCCGGAAAAAAATTGGTAGTTCATGCTCGCTGCTTATCTTAACATGTTATGTCCCTCAACAGGCGAACACTGGAGTTCGCGCGTGTAAAACCGCGCCGTCGCTAACTGCCGCACGCGCGACGTCGCTCAAACAATGCTGTTTGTAACGCATAAATGACGAGTTCTCAATGTATGCGTAACGATATGGCACCAAATTTTGTAAGCGAACGGAGAGAGGCTAATGGAAACAAAGTATGAAAAATCATGAAAAACTTATGTGAACGGAATGAGTAATAAGCATTTTTTCCGAAAATTTTGTAAAATTGGTAAATGAAGATGCGCATTCAATTGGCTCGTTTGCAACGCGCAGATGACGGTATGCTACGAGACTTGGTACATACGTGGACACA